ACTGACTTGGCTGTAATCCTGTTAAATTTGTGACTTAGTCTCCCAGAGGGGCATCTGCAAGGCTTGGGTGTGGCTGGGCTGGAGTCTGCTAGAACTGTTTCTTCCCATTTCTTTGGTTTCTCTGGGTATGTATTTCCATTCCTTGCCAAGGGGTGGCGCAGCCTGCTTCGCCAGCTGCTTTTCCTTTCACCTTGCCTCAGATTAGCCAAAGATGGTTATATTCGTACATAAGTGGGGTGGGCAGTCTCTCTCCTCTGGATGGGCTTGCAGGACTGGTTTTTCTTGTCTTTCCTGCTTCCCCTCTCCTACTTTCTGGGTGAGGGGCATTGTGGTTTCCCTTACTGCCTTGGGTTCATCTGGAGCTACTAAAGTCTTACAGTACACTGACTGATAGGGCTGGAGCCACTTGGGATTTAACTTGTATTACATTTAGCCAGGAGTGAATGTATGGGTGCTGATCAGGGTGTCCAGATTGTCCTCCGACCCCAGTCACTACCTAATACATACGGTCAACCACTTCACAATCTATTGTCCCTTCAGCTGGCCACCCGACATTGAAAGAGGGCCATTCCAATTCACAGAGTTCTTAGCCTTTGAGGAGTTAGTTTAACCCCGTAATCTCCTTGAAACCCTTAAAGTTACTCAGAATGCACTCCAGTGGAGTTGGTTTCAATGCTTCTCCTCCCATCTCCTCCCTTTGCGGCGCACCGTCACCCAGCCTTTTGTTCTGGACAGGCCAAATCAGGTCCCACTACAGGAGTTTCAGGCGCTGCTTAGCCAGGAGAGCACCTTAATCCCTCCACGACAGCTGCAGTCATAGGGCAGCTCCTATGGGCCATATGCGGAATCGCCCTAGATCTGGTCAGTCCTACGCTTGCCTCAGGGTGCACAGTCCACCCTGAGGGACCTGTGTCCCCCCAAGTCACTCCCCGCGTTGGTTCCTCCCGGAACCATCTCTTTCACATACACCTCCCCTTCCCAGTGTTTGCCTTTCCTTTTCTATGTTGGTGGGTATGTGAGTTTCATCTGAATCGGTGAGCTGCTCTCTCCTCCCCAGCCCTGCTGGCCCAAGTGAGTTGAAAATTGCCCCATTGGAAGGCAAATAATGGTTGGCTTATTGGTGCTAGACGGAGGCAAAAATAATTAATAATCGGTTGCATTAATAATCACTGAAGCTGATCAAGTTCCCGTTAGGTGAGTTTCACTGTAATCGGGGAGCCACTCTTGCTTCCCCTAGCCCTACTAGGTAGGGTTACTAGTCACTTCCCTGGAAGGTGACTGAAGCTCCAGACCTCCTTTCCTTTTCTTTAAGCCCCAAATGTCTTACTGTGGTTCCTAAAGCACGCTGATCCTAAAGTCATTCTGCAGCCTCTTCCCGGTTCCTCTGCACTGCCCAGGGAAGGCACCGGGACTTGGGAGAACTGATCTTCTTGAGAGAAGCCTCCCGGTGGCACCTACATTCTTGGGTCTCCCTCGACTCGGGGCCCTGGCCTCACAGGCAAAGGAGACAGCAAGCCTGTCGTCTCCAGTCCCAGATGAGCCCCCAGACATGTTGCAGACTTTTAGAGACTGGAGAGACTGTTGAGCTTGCAGAAGGAGTTTATTTTAGGGGTACACCATCCCAGATCAGATTCACATCCAAAATAGCTGCACACCCCACAAAGACAGAGCTTGACTTTTTATACACGAAGTATACAGTGGCACAAAAATAAGTTTGCAGGTGCAGAACAAAGACAATTTATCAAGCAATGACAAGGCACGAAACTCAGGCTCACATCTAACTTTTGCTCTGCAGCACAGATGCTTGCTATCTGCAGAGCTCAAGGATTCCAGCATGGATCTTACCTGTTGTCCTCACTGCAGCACCTAGAAGGCTAGAGTCCAGCCTGCTCGGGCATTTCTTAATGACCTTTGCTGTGTTACAGAAACTTATAGATACCGGCTACAGAGAAAAGAATACAAGAATTTATAAACTTAAAAAACTTGCAAGGCAGGATGTAATTCCACAGGAGTGGGAAGGACTCAGGGAAGTTGGCTTGTATAAGAAAAATTTAATTTCTGCTGTTCTTTCCTGCGTCAATTTTATTTTATTTTATTTATTTATTTTTTGAGACGGAGTTTCGCTCTTGTTACCCAGGCTGGAGTGCAATGGCGCGATCTCGGCTCACCGCAACCTCCACCTCCCGGGTTCAGGCAATTCTCCTGCCTCAGCCTCCTGAGTAGCTGGGATTACAGGCACGAGCCACCACGCCCAGCTAATTTTTTGTATTTTTAGTAGAGGCGGGGTTTCACCGTGTTGACCAGGATGGTCTCGATCTCTCGACCTCGTGATCCACCCGCCTCGGCCTCCCAAAGTGCTGGGATTACAGGCTTGAGCCACCGCGCCCGGCCAATTTTATTTTTATATTATGTTTTATTAATTTTTCTTTTCCCTCTTCAATACCACTGTACTCCAGAGTGGCTGACAGCACAAGACCCTGTCTCCAAACTAAAATAAAAGGTAGCCTTCCTGCAGGAAGCTGCCGCACAGGCCTGACCCTTCCAGAAACAACTGGGCCCAGGAGGCAATGTTCCAAGAGCAGCTCTGCCAACTGGAACTCAAGCCTAGCTCTGTACACACCAGCGATTTCCCAGCCAGCAGTGACTGTTGGGATCCCTAACACAGAGGCGACCTGTGTTGGCCCCTGCGGTGTTGTATCAAGCTCTTAGTGGAGCCACACCAGGCTCCTTTGAACTCTCCCAGGGACTGCACTTGCCCCTGCCCCCAGCAGAATGTCCTTATCCTCTGTTTCACCTTGTCTCCCTCCTGCTCTTGCCCAGCCTCCTGTCTCAGTTTAGCAGTCACATCCTTAACAACCCTTGTCCCATTCCTCCAACTAGGTGAGAACTTCGTCTTAGGTACTCCTGTGACAATGGATCCTACTTTTCTTTCTTTTTTTTTTGGAGGTGGAGTTGCTCTGTCACCCAGGATGGAGTGCAGTGGTGCAATCTCGGCCAACTGCAACCTCCGCCTCCTGGGTTCAAGCAATTCTCCTGCCTCAGCCTCCCAAATAGCGATTTTACAGGTACATGTGACCACGCCCAGCTAATTTTTGTATTTTTAGTAGAGATTCATGTCACCATGTTGGGCAGGCTGGTCTCGAGCTCTTGACCTGAGGTGATGTGCCCGCCTCAGCCTCCCAAAGTGCTGGGATTACAGGTGTGAGCCACCACACCCAGCTGATCCTTTTTTTATTTTTTCCCAAGACAGAGTCTCACTCTGTTGCCTGGGCTGGATTGCAGTGGTATGATCATGTAACCTCACCTCCCAGGCTCAAGTGATTCTCCCACCTCAGCCTCCTGAGTTGCTGGGGGCACAGGCATGTGCCACCCACACCTGGCTAACTTTTGAAATTTTTTTTGTAGGGATGGGTCTCACCATGTTGTCCAGGCTGGTCTTGAACTCCTGGGCTTGAGCAATCCCCCCACCTTGGCCTCCTGAGTAGCTGGGACTGTAGGTGCACACCACCATGCCTAGCTAATTTGTGTCACAGGGTCTTGCTATGTGGTCCAGGTTGGTCTTGAACTCCTGGGATCCAGCTATCCTCCTGCCTAGGCCTCCCAAAAGTGCTGAGAATACAGGTATGAGTCACTATGCATGGCCTGAAGATCTTTTATAGTGCTCTTACACCTTGCAATTCTTTCCCCAAGTGTCTGCATTTCATGCTAGACTGTAACCTCCATAAAGGCAAGTGTGTTTACCATAGTTATTTCCAATGCCTGGGACGTTGTAGGTGTTCAGTAATTATTTGCTAAATGAACAAATGAATTGGCAGCTGTTTCACAGCTCATGTGATATGGATATGGCTCAGAAATGTTGTATTCAAGATTTTACTCTCTGCCCACATTTCACTACACATTTTTTTTTTTTTTTTTTTTGAGATGGAGTTTCGGCTCTTGTTACCCAGGCCATAGTGCAATGGTGCGATCTTGGCTCATCACAACCTCCGCCTCCCGGGTTCAGGCAATTCTCCTGCCTCAGTCTCCTGAGTAGCTGGGATTACAGGCACGCGCCACCATGCCCAGCTAATTTTTTGTATTTTTAGTAGAGACGGGGTTTCACCATGTTGACCAGGATGGTCTCGATCTCTTGACCTCGTGATCCACCCGCCTCGGCCTCCCAAAGTGCTGGGATTACAGGTGTGAGCCACTGCGCCCAGCCCCACATTTTTTTTTTTTTTTTTTTTTTGAGATGGAATCTCGTTCTGTTGCCCAGGCTAGAATGGAGTGGCATGATCTTGGCTATAACCTCCACCTCCTGGGTTCAAGTGATTCTCTTCCCCCAGCCTCCTGAGTAGCTGGGGTTACAGGTATGTGCCACTATGCCTGGCTAATTTTTTTTTTTTTTTTTTTTTGAGACGGCATCTTACTCTGTCACCTCCGCTGGTGTGCAGTGGCGTGATCTCGGCTCACTGTAGCCTCTGCCTCCCAGGTTCCAGTGATTCTCCTGCCTCAGCACCCCGAGTAGCTAGGACTATAAGTGTTCACCACCATGACTGGCATATTTTTGTATTTTTAGTTGAGACAGGGTTTCACCATGTTGGCCCAGCTGGTGTTGAACTCCTGACCTCAGGTGATCCACCCGCCTCAGCCTTCCAAAGTCCTGGGACTACAGGTGTGAGCCACCACACCCAGCCAAGTTTTTCTGTATTTTTAGTAGAGACATGTCGGCCAGGCTAGTCTCAAATTCCTGGCCTCAAGTGATCCACCTGCCTCAGCCGCCCAAAGTCCTGGGGTTACAGGCGTTTGCCACCATGCCTGGCTAGATATGTTGTATTTAAGATTTTATTCTCCTCTGCACACATTTCACTACACAGTTTTAAAGCATTCCTGATCACTTACATGATTACTGTCATCTTTGTTTGAAGGATGTTAAAAAAAAAGCTGAATTCAATATATTACTTTGTGATCACTCATCTAAAATAGAGGTGTGTTACACTGTGCATTCTAATTCTTCCCAGTAGGATGCCTCGTTTGGTTTTGTGTGAACCGACAGAGCTTTACAACATCCTGAATCAGGTCACAAAACTATCCAGATTAATAGAACCCAACTATCTCTGTTTATTGGGTAAGTACTTGGGAAAAAAAACGGGGGAGGTTGAACACAGTGTCCTTCAAATATTATTTTTGATGAGTTAAACTTTTGGGAGGGGGAATGAATGACTTTAGAACAGGGGTCGCTGGACCAGGTGAGGGGGCACACGCCTGTAATCCCGGCACTTTGGGAGGCCGAGGTGGGTGAATCAGTTGAGGCCAGGAGTTCACGACCAGCTGGGCCAACAGGGCAAAACCCCATCTCTACTAAAAATTAAAAAAAATTAGCCAGGCATGGTGTTGTAATTCCACCTGTAATTCCAGCTACTCGGTGTAGGGCTATTGGCTCCACAGGGTTGTGGGGTGTCCCCTGTAGCTGTGCCGAAGCGCAGGATCCGAGAAATGAGACAGGACACAGAAAAATGGGAAAAGAGCAGCTGGGCTCGGGGGGCTGCGCCACCTATGTGCAGAGACAGGCGAGGCCCCAAACGTCCAGAAGCATCTGTATTTATTGGGTACAAGGCAGGGGGAAGGGTCGTGAGTGAGGCTTAATGATAGGACATACATAATCATGTGAGTAGCAGGTGAGAGGGCCAACCCATGATGTCACCTGGGCAGAGAGGTGGGCCGGGCGCAGTAGGGGGCTGTGCCGGGCATAGTAGTAGAGGGTCGTGTAGAAAAAAGGGGTCCACCCCCACTAGGTCACCAAGAGAAGGAGGTGGGCTGTGGGCAACAGGTGTCATGCGCAACACTTCCTATCTGGGGGCCGGAGAATTACAAAGGATTTCTAACAGAAGGATACTGTAAGCCAATGCAGTGGGAGCTGACAGACTTGTGCTCTTCTCTAAGATATTTTATGGGAGGAGGATTTGAGCTAGCACAGAAGCGAGAAAAGGCTGACAGGGTGTACAGCCGCCGTGACTGGTCACAGCAGAGGGGTTCTTCTCTCTCGGTTATTTCCAGGATCTTAGCCCTGAGGCTGACTTTCCCCAGGAACTGGATGCGAGGTGCTACAACTCCTGTATCAGGAGGAGAGGCTCCTGCCCCAAGCCTGCCACACAGCGTTTGTCCTTTCAGGCGGGGCCGCCGCCGCCTGGGTCTTTGGTTCTTGTCCTGGTCTGGCTGTTTGCCCATGTACTGCTGCTGTTCTGTGACTGCTCTAGGCATTCCTCCTCCTACTACAGACTACTATATGGTTGTGTAGAAGGATTCTGTAAATCAGCACTAAATGTGTCGATACAGCTCCGACTACAATACCTATGTAATTATATGGAAAGATTATATAGAACTAAGTATGCTAGATGTAAGTACTAAGTATGATTATATAAGCTAGATATATGTAAGCAGTAAGTTATACTTCAGGCACGAATTCTGTAAACTAATATGATTATATGTAAAGGATTATACAAAGAAAATAACTGAGTAATAACACTTTAAGATATTCTTCAGGCACTAATTGTGCCTGGGGTTTGCACACTCTCCTTCCTCGGTGCCCATGTGGGGGGTTATCCACACTCGGGAGGCTGAGGCAGGAGAATCGCTTGAACCCGGGAGGTGGAGTTTGGAGTGAACCGAGATCACACCACTGCATTCCCAGCTTGGGCAACAGAATGAGACCCTGTCTCAGAAAAAAGAAAAAAAAAAAAAAAAAAAAAACAGGGGTTCCCCAAACCTCAGTACCAGTCTGTGGCCTATTAGGAGCCAGGTTGAACAGCAGAAGGTGAGCAGCAGGGGGGCTTCACCTGTAGTTACAGCCATGCCCCTTCCCTCACTTTCCTGCTTGAGCTCCGCCTCCTGTCAGATCAGCTGCAGCATTAGATTCTCATAGGAGTGTGAACCCTGCTGTGAACTGCAGATGCCAGTGATGTCGGTGGCACGCTCCTTATGAGAATCTAATGCCTGATGATCTGTCACTGTCTCCCATCACCCTCAGATGGGACTGTCTACTTGCAGGAAAACAAGCACACAAGCTCAGGGATCCCATTGATTCTACGTGGTGGTGCGTTATAGAATTATTTCAATATACATTTCAATGTCATAACAATAGAAATAAAATACACAAAAAAATGTCAGGTGCAGGAGTTATCCTCAATTCATCCCAACCCCACTGTCCTGTTTTGTGGAAAAATTGTCTTCCACGAAACCGGTCCCTGGTGCTAAAAAGGTTGGGGATCACTGCTTTAGAAAGCTGTCTCATCCCAACGTCTTGGGAGACAAAGGCAGGAAAATTGCTTGACCCTGGGAGGCAGAGGTTGCAGTGAGCTGAGATCATGCTGAGATCACTGCAGTCGAGCCTGGATGGGGATTTAGTGTGAGCTCACTTCGGATTTGATTTCTTCCCTCCCCTCCCTACCTCCCTTTCTTCCTCCATTTCTTTCTTTCTTTGAGACAGAATCTTGCTCTGTTGCCCAGGCTGGAATGCAACAGCATGATGTTGGCTCAGCCTCAACCTCCACGTGCCAGGTTTAAGGGATTCTCTTTCCTCAACCTCCTGAGTAGCTGGGATTACAGGCATGCGCCACCACACCCAGCTAATTTTTGTATTTTTAGTAGAGATGGGGTTTTGCCATGTTGACCAGGCCTCCCGGCCTCAGCCTCCCCGGGTGCGCCATCCCGCAGCCCTGCATCTCGGGTTTTAAACCAACAGTGACTATCCCTTAGCTGTCCAACAAATAGATGTTGATGACAATGGAAGCCCTCTAAGTAGTTTGGTCGTGTGTTCCTTTGCAAATCCAGTTCTTAGTTGAATGCTTTTCCTTTCCAGATGTCCGTTCCAAACGGGAATATGACGAGAGCCACGTGATTACAGCACTTCGTGTGAAGAAGGTACGTGGGCAGAGCCAGGAATCTGAGGCAGGCTACCCTGCAGCCTGGTAGGGAAGAAGAGGAGGTTTTTATTTTTTGTTTGTTTGTTTGTTTTTTGAGATGGAATTTTGCTCTTGTTACCCAGGCTGGAGTGCAATGGCACGATCTCGGCTCACCACAACGTCCGCCTCCTGGGTTCAGGCAATTCTCCTGCCTCAGCCTCCTGAGTAGCTGGGATTACAGGCACGCATCACCACGCCCAGCTAATTTTTTGTATTTTCAGTAGAGACGGGGTTTCACCATGTTGACCAGGATGGTCTCGATCTCTTGACCTCGTGATCCACCTGCCTCAGCCTCCCAACGTGCTGGGATTATAGGCGTGAGCCACCGCGCCCGGCCAGAAGGGGAGGTTTTACCCTCAATCCAGTGGGCAGCAGAGGCTGGACTGATTTCTCTGCATCCACCGTGGTGGTCTTCCACACCTCTCACTCTCACACATTTTCTCAGGTATCTTCCCATCCCTCAGTATTTATCGACACTCCATTAGACAAATAATGATTTCTTTGCTTTTTTTTCTTTTTGAGACAAGTGTCTTGCTCTGTCACCCAGGCTAGAGTGCAGTGGCACAATCATAGCTCACTGCAGCCTTAAACTCCTAGGCTTGGCCAGACACGTGGCTCACATCTATAATCCCAGCACTACTTTGGGAGGCTGAGGTCGGTGGATCACCTGAGGTCAGGAGTTTGAGACCAGCCTGGCCAGCATGGTGAAACCCCATCTCTACTAAAAATACAAAAATTAGCTGGGTGTGGTGGCTCACACCTGTAGTCCCACCTACTCGGGAGGCTGAGGCAGGAGAAATCACTTGATTTCTTGGGAGCTACTCAGAAGGCGGAGGTTGCCTTGAGCTAAGATCACACCATTGTACTTCAGCCTGGGTGACAGAGTGAAACTTGGTCTCAAAAAACCTCCTGGGCTCAAGCGATTCTACCCCACTCAACCTCCAGAGTAGCTGAGACTACAAGGGGCTGCTACCATGCCTGGCTAATTTTTGGATTTTTGGTAGAAATGGGGTTGCACTGTGTTGTCCAGGCTGCTGTTGAACTCCTGGCTCTAGCTGTCCTCCCGCCCTGGCCTCCCAAAGCGCTGGGATCACACGTGTGAGCCACCAAGCCTGGCCAGATACTGATTTAATTCCTTGATGTGCCAGGTACTGTTCCAGACCTTGGGGATACAACAGAATACAACAGCCTGAGCTCATTGTCCCTGCCCTCATGGGGCTTTCTCTCTCTCTTTTTTCTTTTTTTTTTTTTTTTTGAGACAGAGTTTCGCTCTTGTTACCCAGGCTGGAGTGCAATGGCGCGATCTCGGCTCACCAAAACCTCCGCCTCCTGGGTTCAGGCAATTCTCCTGCCTCAGCCTCCTGAGTAGCTGGGATTACAGGCACGCGCCACCATGCCCAGCTAATTTTTTATATTTTTAGTAGAGACGGGGTTTCACCATGTTGACCAGGATGGTCTCGATCTCTCGACCTCGTGATCCACCCGCCTCGGCCTCCCAAAGTGCTGGGATTACAGGCTTGAGCCACCGCGCCCGGCCCTCTTTTTTCTTTTTAGTTATTTTTTCTGTTTTTATTTTATTTTTTTGTTTTTATATTTATTTTTGGAGTTTTATTTTTTAAATTAATTTTTAGGGAAAGGTCTTGCTCTGTCATCCGGGCAGGGGTGCAATGGCACAATCATGGCTTGAGCTCCTGGGTTCAAGCCATTCTCCCACCTCAGCCTCCTGAGTAGCTGGGACTACAGACTTCTGCCATTAGGCAATTTTTTTTTTTTTGGAAACAGGATCTTATTATGTTGCCCAGGCTGTCACAGACCTTCTGTTCTAGTCACCAAACCCACAATAAACCCCAGAGATAATTGGCTATAATCCAAAGATGGAAGCCCCTCCCTTTTTTCCTTCCCATCGCATCTTCCCTTCCCCCTCCTGAGAAGTGGACAGAACCCTGCAGTCACCACGTCCCCTACTACAGTGAGAACTTCTCCCCACACCTCCAGGGTGTCATCTCCCTCAAAGCATTGCGAAGCCTGACCGCCTTCACCCAGGATCCGTCTCTGTCCTCCTCAGTCCTGATCACATTCTCTGCCCTTCACTCGGAGGCTCTCTTTGACTTCTCTGTGATTTTCTGTCTCTTTGGTTCACCTTCATTTTCTTTCTTTCTTTTTTTTTTTTTTTTTTTTGAGACAGAATCTTGCCCTGTCTCCCAGGCTGGAGTGCATTGGCGTGATCTTGGCTCACTGCAATCTCCACCTCCCGGGTTCAAAAATGAGAAAATATCATTTTGAGACCCTGTCTCAAAAAAAAAGAAAATTTTGTCTTCAAAAATTCTCCTTTACTCCCCATTCTCACTGTACTCTTATGCACCCCATCTCTGCTCCTTTTTCTACACATAACTCAATGACTCAGCAAGGAGCATGGGCAGGGTATATTTTTCCAGGATTTTTTTTTTTTTTTTTTTGGAGATCTTTTATTTATTTATTTATTTATTTATTTATTTATTTATTTGAGACAGAATCTTGTTCTATCTGCCCACGCTGGAGTGCAGTGGTGCAATCTCGGCTCACTGCAACCTCCATGTCCCAGGTTCAAGCAATTGTCCTGCCTCAGTCTGCCAAGTAGCTGGGGTTGCAGGCCCCTGCCACCGTGCCCAGCTAATTTTTGTATTTTTAGTAGAGATGGAGTTTTGCCACATTGGCCAGGCTGGTCTTTAATTCCTGATCTCAAGGGATCCGCCTGCCTCAGCCTCCCAAAGTGCTGGGATAACAGGTGTAAGCCACCACACCCGGCCCACCATCTCACTGTTAATCCCCATTGAAGGCCTCTTTCTTCAACCTATTCAGAGCCCCTCGTGGTGTATGGGCCTTTGTTCCCACTGAGCTCTCAAGTCTGTGTATTTCTTTGATTCTGGCAGTACCTCCTGCTCTGGGAAACAGACATTGTCTTTGCCTCTGCCCCTCAGCGCCTCTCATTTAGGCTGCTTGCCTTCCCTCCCCAACATCCCAGTTTGCAGATTGAGGCCTTCTGGGCATCCCCAGCCCCAGCAGGACAGAAAGGCTCCCAGCTCTGTGTTCTCAGCCTTGGATCTGACCACATCTCTCTCCAGCCTCATCCACAGTACACGTCCACTCTCACAGACGCCTCGGCAGCGCTGTACCGCCACATTTCCTCGCTTCTGTGATGCATGTGTATCCCATACTGTAACACTTTTTGAAAACGGGATTTGTACCTACTGTTGATTTGCACAGAGTGCTGCTCTCTCACTCACGCTGGAGTGCAGTGGCGATCTTGGCTCAGTGTAACCTCTGCCTCCTGGGTTCAAGCAATTCTCTCACCTCAGCCTTCCGAATAGCTGGGACTACAGACGTGCGCCATCACACCCAGCTAATTTTTTTTTTTTTTTTTTTTTTTTTTGGTATTTTAGTAGAGATGGGGATTTACCCTGTTGCCCAGGCTGGTCTTGAATGCCTGAGCTCAGGCTATCTGCCTGCCTTGGCCTCCCTAGGATTACAGGCATGAGCCACTTCGCCCAGCCTGTTTTTTATTTGTTTGTTTGTTTTTTTGTTTTGAGACAGGGACGCACTCTGTCACCCAGGCTGGAGTGCATTGGCGCCATCACTGCTCACTGCAGCTTTGAACTCCTAGGATCAAGCAATCCTCCCATCTTAGCCTTCCCAGTAGCTGGGACCATAGGCGTGCACTATCATACTCAGCTAACTTGTATTTCTTGTAGAAATGAGGTCTCGCTATGTTGCTCAGGCTGGTCTTGAACTGCCGGGTTCAAGTAATCCCCTCTCCTCAACCTCCCAAAGTGCTGGGATGACAGGTCTGAGCACTAGGCCCGGCCTGATTTGTATTTTTAATATGGTAGTGTCTCCTTCCCAAAAAGTGGGGGTGGTGAACATCTTTTGTTTTTCCGCCCAATACCTCCCCACTTTTGGGGGCAACTTCTCCTCTCTCTGCTCAAACCGTGGGTTTCTAGTGGCACTCTCTAAAATAACATCCTGGCCAGGCGCAGTGGCTTGTGCCTATAATCCCAGCACTTCTGGAGGCTAAGGTGGTCTGAGACCACTTGAGTCCAAGAGTTCAAGACCAGCCTGGACAACATAGTGGGACCCCAGAAGGCATTTGTTTACTGCCTTCTTTTTGAGTGTTGGTTGTTGTTGTCATTTTGAAAAAGAGTTTCACCCTGTCACCCAGGCTCGAGTGCAGTGATGCGATCTCGGCTCACTGCAACCTCTAGCTCCTAGGGTCAAGCCTCTCTCCTGCCTCAGCCTCGGCCTCAGCCTCCTGAGTAGCTGGGACTACAGGCATGCGCCACCACACTTGACTAATTTTTGTATTTTTTTTTTTTTTTTTTTTTTTTTTGAGATGGAGTTTCACTCTTGTTACCCAGGCTGGAGTGCAATGGCGCGATCTCGGCTCACCGCAACCTCCGGCTCCTGGGTTCAGGCAATTCTCCTGCCTCAGCCTCCTGAGTAGCTGGGATTACAGGCACGCGCCACCATGCCCAGCTGATTTTTTGTATTTTTAGTAGAGAGGGGGTTTCACCTTGTTGACCAGGATGGTCTCGATCTCTTGACCTCATGATCCACCCGCCTCGGCCTCCCAAAGTGCTAGGATTACAGGCTTGAGCCACCGCGCCCGGCCAATTTTTGTATTTTTAGTAGAGATGGGGTTTTACCCTGTTGGCCAGGCTGATCTCGAACTCCTGGCCTCAGGTAATCTGCCTGCCTTGACCTCCCAAAGTGCTGGGATTACAGGCATGAGCCACTGCACCTGGCCTTGTTGTTATTTTGAGACAGGTCTTGCTCTGTCACCCAGGCTGGAGTACAGTGGTACAATATAGCTCACTGCAGCCTCTACCTCCCAGGCTCAAGCGATCTGCTCACCTCAGCCTCCTGAGTAGCTGGTACTACAGGTGCTACTATAGTCCACACCTGGCTTTTTTGTATCTTCAAATATATATATATATAGAGAGATAAATTAGCCAGGCATGGTGGTGTGTGCCCGTGGTCCCAGCCACTCAGGAGGCTGAAGGGGGAGGATCATTTGAGCCCAGGAGTTCAAGGCTGCAACAAGCTATGACTGCACCACTGCAGTCCAGCCTGGGCAATACAGCGAGACCCTGTCTCTAACATAAAATCATATCTAGGACCCTGGCCGCAGTGATTGGTCATGGGTCTGGGATGAAAGCTGAGCCAATCAGAATTGGAATTAGAGAAGGGTATCTCTGTCCAGCCTGGTGGTGGAACTGGGAAGACGGGAGTCTGAGCATTGCCAGGGTGTGTGGCTCAAACCCCTGGAGGAAATCCTCTGAGAAGGGGAAGTCAATGTGCAGGGGGAAGGGGAGAGAAGGAGAGCTCAAAGGAGATCTGGCCTTCAGGGTCTCTGGGTCCTAAAGCCAGCTCGTTTAGGTTTGGAAACCGGCTGCATCTTTGCCTTGCCTGGAGTATTATCTGCCAAGAAGTCCCTCTTTTGTGCGCACTCCTGATCAGATTGGTAGTACATCTTATCATCCATAGTGTCTGTTTTTTTTTTTGTTTTTTTTTTTTTTTTTGAGACGGAGTTTCGCTCTTGTTACCCAGGCTGGAGTGCAATGGCCCGATCTCGGGCTCACCGCAACCTCCGCCTCCTGGGTTCAGGCAATTCTCCTGCCTCAGTCTCCCGAGTAGCTGGGATTACAGGCACGCGCCACCATGCCCAGCTAATTTTTTGTATTTTTTAGTAGAGACGGGGGTTTCACCATGCTGACCAGGATGGTCTCGATCTCTTGACCTCGTGATCCACCCGCCTCGGCCTCCCAAAGTGCTGGGATTACAGGCTTGAGCCACCGCGCCCGGCCAACCTGTTTTTGTTTTTAAGACAGAGTCTTACTCTGTCACCCAGGCTTGAGTGCAGTGTTGCAATCATAGCTCGCTGCAGCCTTGCAGTGAACTCCAGGGTTCAAGCAATCCTCCCACTTCAGCCTCCCAGGCAGCTGGGATTATAGGCATGAGCCACCATGACCAGCCATATTTGATCTTCCAGTTCATCTCATTCCTTCTGCTCACTCATGACTTCTGCTCTTCACACTGTCTACTTACTGCCTTCTTTTTGGGTGTTTTTTTTATTGTGTTTTGTTGTTGTTTTGGGACAGGGTCTTGTTCTGTCACCCAGGCTGGAGTGCAGCAACACAATCACAACTCACTGCAGCCTCCATCTCCTGGGCTCAAGTGATCCTCCCACCTCAGCCTCCTGAGTAGCTGGGACTATAGGAACATGCCACCGTGCTTGGCTGATTTTTGTATTTTTTTTTTTTTTCATAGAGACAGGGGTCTTGCTGTGTTGCCCAGGCTGGTCTCGAACTCCTGGTCTCAAGCAGTCCTCCTGCCTTGGCCTCCCAAAGTGCTGGGATTACAGGCGCAAACCCCCACATCCAGTCTGGTGCTTCTAGATTCAGTCTCCCGTGCCAAACACTCTCTCTATGAGAAAGGATGTCACAATTCAATTGACCACAGTTTCTCTGACACCAGGGCACCTAACAGGCTGTGGACCAGTCAGCAGGCGAGCTGTTCTTTGGTCAGGCTTTTCTGTCTGGTCCAGTCAGCTGTGGTCAGCCTTTATCAGAAGGGGACACAGTTGCAGAGTGATTTAACAGACTCTCCATCCACTGTCTCAGTGCTTCTGTGCCTGTGTCTGTAGTCAGGCGAGAGAGTGCAGTCTTAGCTCCTCCCAGTGCTGGTATGCAAGGAGTCTCTGCTCAACCAAACCTACCCACCAACAGGCCTCTCTTGTGTTTTTTTAAGAAAATGAATGAATATCTTCTCCCGGAGTCTGTGGACCTGGAGTGTGTGAAGTACTGCGTGGTGTATGATAACAACACCAGCACTCTGGAGGTACTCTTAAAAGATGACGATGATGGTTCAGACTCGGATAGTGCTGGCAAAGGTGGGTTTTCAGTGACAGCAGCAAGAATAATAGGTAACAGCTGTTGGACAAATTTGTTATGGGACCAACAGGTTCGTACGCCCATGGCGCGGGAACAGGCCAATGACACTGAGACAGCAGGGTTTGCATCAGAGAAAGAGCTTTGTGATCACAGGAGATGGGAGGAGGCCCTCAAGTCCATCTCCCCAAGGAGTTGTGGAGTGGGTTTTCTTGACGGTGGTGGTGGTGTTTTGTTTTGTTTTTTTTTTTTTGAGACGGAATCTCGCTCTGTTGCCAGGCTGGAATGCAATGGTGCTATCTCTGCTCACTGCAACTTTGCAACCTCTGCCTCCCTGGTTCAAGTGATTCTCCTGTCTCAGCCTCCCAAGTAGCTGGGACTACAGGTGCACGCTACCATGCCTAGCTAATTTTTGTACTTTTAGTAGAGACAGGGTTTCACCATGTTGGCCAGGCTGGTCTCAATCTCTTGACCTTGTGATCTGCCCACTTTGGCCTCCCAAAGTGCTGGGATTACAGGTGTGAGCCACCACACCCGGCCAGAATGGGGCTTTTAAGGGGATTGGGGAGGGTGAGGGGCTGGAAAGTTGGGTTTATTGTTTGGTCAAGGAAAGGGAATGAAGTCATTGGGACATGGAAACTGCGTTCTTTGGTGAGTCAGCTCTTGGGGGGCCATTCAGACCAGCTGCCAGTGGTTTCATCGGTGTGCAGGACCTGAAATAATATCTCCAAGGAAAAACAGTGTTTCATGACATTCCATTTGTCATCTACAGAGCAGGGAAGGGAAACTGTGTTCTTGTAACACGGTCTGTGTGATTCCAGGACAATCAGCATCAGGCAGCTGTGAGCAAGCAGGTTGGAGAGCAAGCAAGGTGACCTAGTAAGGAAGGCTGAATGTGTTGCCAGCTGGGCTTATTTTCATTTGTTTCTCTACTTCCTTTCCTGATTAATTTCATAACGTTTATGGGGACAGTTTCACATGTGCCATGTGCCAGGAAGCAAGTGCTTCACCTGGATGGGTTCACATAGTCTGCAGAACAACTTACAGGGATGCTAACATCAAGAGCTGTGAGGGTGCCAGGCCCAGTGACTGATACCTGTAATCCCAGCACTTTGGGAGGCTGAGGCAGGAGGATCACCTCAGCCCAGGAGTTCAGGACCAGTCGGAGTGATATGCTGAGATCTGGTGCCCAGCTCATTTATTTCCTTTTTTGTAGGGACTGGGTCTTGTGTTGTTAAGTCTCTAGGCTGAGACTTAAGCTTTTCAAAGTGTGTGGACATACTTTTAAACCATCACACCTATAAGTGGTGGGACCAGGATTCAAACCCAGACCTTATGGCTCTGTCTTGTCTCCTGGGGATTGGGAGCGTGCAGCTCCGAGTCAGAACAACAAAGCCTGGTCAGTTCCAGTGTGCTCCACTGAACCTCTGAGGCTCTGCTATGTTCTTCATGAGCCCCTAGTTTCGGGCTGACCACTGGGAGGTCTGCTTCTAGGAATCGGTAGCCAGAGAACGTGTGGGTGCAGTTAACAGAAGCTGGGCGCACTCACATGAACTGCCACTAGGCGGCGCCATGCTCCCACCTTTCATAAAACCAGCGGTCTGGACTTTGATCCCAGGAGGTCCTTGGCCAGGAAATTCTCCCTTTTTTCCTCCTCATCCTGTGGGGCTCTGGTCTGCAATCTTAGGACTGTAGGCTGGACCTTGAAATCCTGGCAGATGGTGCTCCACAGGGATAATCCCCTTTATGTTCTGTAACTGACCTCACTTTGCTTTGGGGCCCCTATTCACAGGAAACCACGACCATGAGGACAACTTTTAGAACATTTTCTTATATTTTTATTATTATTATTATTTTATTTTTTTGAGACGGAGTTTTGCTCTTGCTACCCAGGCTGGAGTGCAATGGCGTGATCTCGGCTCACTGCAACCTCCACCTCTTGGTTCAGGCAATTCTCCTGCCTCAGCCTCCCGAGTACCTGGGATTACAGGCACATGCCACCATGCCCAGCTAATTTTTTGTATTTTTAGTAGAGACGGAGTTTCACCATGTTGACCAGGATGGTCTTAATCTCCTGACCTCGTGATCCACCTGCCTCGGCCTCCCAAAGTGTTGGGATTACAGGCATGAGCCACCGTGCCCGGCAGAGTTGATCATTTTTTCCTCTTTTCATGGTCTTCTTGTTGCTTTAGATTTTCCAGAAACTCTTCTGGGGTGTCCGTGCAGGTCACAGAGGGTAACGTGGCGTCCATAGCACTGTCAGTCAGCTTAAAAGACCTTACAGAACCCAGGGAGGGAGAGGTTGCATTGAGCCAAGATTGTGCCATTGCATTCTAGCCTGGGCAACAAGAGTGAGACTCCATCTCAAAAATCCAATTGCTTGTTGACGGCCCTTGAGTTGACTGTACATGTTTGCTGTTGTGAATAGTGCTGCAGCGAACATACGGGTGTAGGTGTCCTTTCGGCATAACGGTGTATTTTCCTTTGGATGTGTACCTAGTAATGGGATTGGTGAGTTGAATGGTAATTCTTTTATTTATTTGTTTTGAGATGGAGTCTCACTCTGTTGCCAGTCTGGAGTGCAGTGGCGCAATCTTGGCTCATTTCAACCTCTGCCTCCCGGGTTCAAGTGATACTAGTGCCTCAGCCTCCTGAGTAGCTGGGACTACAAGGCACACACCATCATGCCCAGTTAATTTTTATATTTTTAGTAGATACGGGCTTTCACCATGTTGACCAGTGTGGTCTTGATCCCTTGACCTCATGATCCGCCTGCCTCGGCCTCCCAAAGTGCTGGGATTACAGGTGTGAGCCACCGTGCCCAGCCCCATGGTAGTTCTGTTTCTGGTTCTCTCAGAAAGAAATCTGCAAAGTCCACAGGAGCGGAACTAACTTACATTCCCACCAACAGTATGTAAGCGTTCCTTTTGCCACAGCCCTGTCAACATCTAATTATTTTTGGCTTTCCAATAAAAGCCATTGACTGGTGTAAGAAGGTATCTCATTGTGGTTTTGATGTGCATTTCTCTGATGATTAGTGATGTCAAGCATTTTTTCATGTTCGTTGGCTGCCTGTATATATTCTTTTTTTATTTTATTTTATTTTATTTTTTGAGATGGAGTTTCGCTCTTGTTACCCAGGCTGGAGTGCAGTGGCGCAATCTCGGCTCACTGCAACCTCCGCCTCCTGGGTTCAGGCAATTCTCCTGCCTCAGCCTCCTGAGTAGCTGGGATTACAGGCACGCGCCACCATGCCCAGCTAATTTTTTGTATTTTTAGTAGAGACGGGGTTTCACCATGTTGACCAGGATGGTCTCGATCTCTTGACCTCGTGATCCACCCACCTCGGCCTCCCAAAGTGCTGGGATTACAGGCTTGAGCCACCGCCCCCGGCCTGTATATATTGTTTTGCAAAGGATCTGTTATTTCCTTTGCCCACTTTTTAATAGAGTGGTGTATCAGGGTATATATATGTATATCTCCTGTTATAGGATATATATATTAAAGGATGTAAATTTATATAATAGGAGAGATATATAAATATTTATACGCACATACCCTAAAACACACACACACACACACACACACACACACACACACACACGTATAAAGGGGAGTTTATGAAGGAGTATTAACTCATGTGATTAACTGCAAGCTGAGGAGCAAGAAAGCCAGTCCGAATCCCAAAGCCGAAGAACCTGGAGTCTGATGTCTGAGGGCAGGAAGCATCCAGCCGGGGAGAAAGGTGTAGGCTGGGAGGCTAGGCCAATCTAGTCTCGTGTTTTTCTGCTTGTTTTATATTCTAGCTGCGCTGGCAGCTGATAAGCTGGTGCCCACCCAGATTGAAGGTGGGTCTGCGTTCCCCAGCCCAGTGATCCAAATGTCCATCTCCTTTGGCCACACCCTCACAGACACACCCAGGATCAATACTTAGCATCCTCCAATCCAGTCAAGTTGACAGTCTTTTTTTTTTTTTTTTTGAGACAGAGTTTCACTCTTGTTACCCAGGCTGGAGTGCAATGGCGTGATCTCAGCTCACTGCAACCTCCGCCTCCTGGGTTCAGGCCATTCTCCTGCCTCAGCCTCCTGAGTAGCTGGGATTACAGGCACGTGCCACCATGCCCAGCTAATTTTTTGTATTTTTAGTAGAGATGAGGTTTCACTATGTTGACCGGGATGGTCTCGATCTCTTGACCTCGTGATCCACCCGCCTCGGCCTCCCAAAGTGCTGGGATTACAGGCTTGAGCCACCGTGCCCGGCCTGACAGTCTTTTAACGATCTTAGGTTGCTTGTGTTTGGCTTCTTAAGTTCCTTACAGATTTTGGATACTCGATTTTTGTTAGTGGCATAGTTTGTGAATATTTTCTCCCTTTCTGCAGGCTGTTTACTCTGGTAGCTTCTCTTGCTGTGCAGAAGCGCTTTAGTGTAATTAGGTCCCACTGTCAATTTTTGTGTTTGTTGCAATTGCTTTGAAGGACTTGAGGCCGGCGTCGAGAAGGGTATTTCCTAGCTGTTCTTCTAAGATTTCTGTAGTCTTGATTCCATTTGAGTGTTTAATCTGTCTAGAGTTGATCGTTGTATACGGCGATCGGGTCCAGTTTCATTCTTCTGCACATGGGTAGTCAGTTATCTTACTACCATTTATTGACCAATCATTGGGAGTCCTTTTCCGGTTCCTATTTGTTTTGAGACAGGGTCTTGCTCTGTCTCCTAGGCTGGAGTGCAGTGGCACAACCATGGCTCACTACAGCCTCAACCTCCCTGGCTCAGGTGATCCTCCTGCCTCAGCCTCTCTAGTAGCTGGAACTGCAGGTGCCCGCAACCACACTGGAATAATTTTTTTGTATTTTTTTTTGGCGGTGGGGAGGGGGATGGAGACGGGGTCTTGCCACGTTGCCTGGGCCCGTGTCAAACTCCTGGGCTCGGGCAGTCCTCTGCCTGTGCCTTCGAAGGTTCTGTGATTACAGGTGTGAGGCACTATACCTAGCCTCCATTGCTTATTTTTGTCAAGTTTGTTGAAGATCAGGTGGTTATAAGCGTGTGGCTTTATTTCTGGGTTATCTATTTTGTTCAATTGGTCTATGTGTTTTGAATTGTACATTTTAAATGGGTGAATTTTATGATATACAATATACGGTTTACATAAATAATATGTAAACCATATGTATACATGTGAGTGGTTAGCTGTAACTTGGAGTTTCTGTAAAACTCAGATTTTTCCATGATGATGTGTTGTATGATGTTGTATATCATATAATACGTATATCTCGGAGTTTACAGAAAAGAAGATGAACCTAGGCTGGGCATGGCGGCTCATGCCTGTAATCTCAGCACTTTGGGAGGCTGAGGCAGGCAGATTGCTTGGGCTGGGGAGTTCCAGACCAACCTGAGCAAAAAAGTGATACTGCAGTGCTCGCTTCAGCAGCACATACACTACAATTGGAATGATACAGATATTAGCACGGCCCCTGCGCAAGGATGACACGCCAATTTGTGAAGCATTCCATAGTTATTTTTTTAAAAAGTGACACTACGAAAAAAATACAAAATTAAGCCAGATGTGGTGGTGCACACCTGTAGACGCAGCTACTCTGGAGGCTGAGGCAGGAGGATGGTGTGAGCTCAGGAGGCAGAGGTTGCAGTGAGCTGAGATTGCACCACTGTACTCCAGCCAGATAGAGTGAGACTCTGTCGCAAAACAAAACAAAACAAAACAAAAAAAACAAACAAAAACAAAAAAAAAACCCTGGTGGTAAGCTGCTTTTAAAATTTTAGTTGTAACTCATCTCTGTGCTTGTTTCAGCTTCCTTTCTTTTTTTTTTTTTTTTTTTTTGAGATGGAATTTCGCCCTTGTTACCCAGGCTGGAGTGCAATGGCGCGATCTCGGCTCACCGCAACCTCCGCCTCCTGGGTTCAGGCAATTCTCCTGCCTCAGCCTCCTGAGTAGCTGGGATTACAGGCACGCACCACCATGCCCAGCTAATTTTTTGCACTTTTAGTAGAGACGGGGTTTCACCATGTTGACCAGGATGGTCTCGATCTCTCGACCTCGTGATCCACCCGCCTCAGCCTCCCAAAGTGCTGGGATTACAGGCTTGAGCCACCGCGCCTGGCTGGCCTGTATATATTCTTTTGCAAAGTATCTGTTATGTCCTTTGCCCACTTTTTAATAGAGTGGTGTATCGGGTATATATATCTACATCTATCTCCTGTTATAGCATATATATATTAAAGGATGTAAATTTATATAATAGGGGAGATATATATATATAAATACTTATATATATATATATATATACACACATACCCTACCACACACACACATACACACATATACATGTATAAAGGGGAGTTTATGAGGAGTATTAACTCATGTGATTAACTGTCTGCAAGCTGAGGAGCAAGGAAGCCAGTCCGAATCCCAAAGCCGAAGAACCTGGAGTCTGATGTCTGAGGGCAGAAAGCATCCAGCCGGGGGAAAAAGGTGTAGGCTGGGAGGCTAGGCCAGTCTAGTCTCGTGTTTTTCTGCTTGTTTTATATTCTAGCTGCGCTGGCAGCTGATAAGCTGGTGCCCACCCAGATTGGAGGTGGGTCTGTGTTCCCCAGCCCAGTGATTCAAATGTCCATCTCCTTTGGCCACACCCTCTAAGACACACCCAGGATCAATACTTTGGATCCTCCAATCCAGTCAAGTTGACAGTCTTTTAACGATCTTAGGTTGTTTGTGTTTGGCTTCTTAAGTTCCTTATAGATTTTGGATATTAGATTTTTGTTAGTGGCATAGTTTGTGAATATTTTCTCCCTTTCTGCAGGCTGTTTACTCTGGTAGCTTCTCTTGCTGCGCAGAAGCACTTTAGTGTAATTAGGTCCCACTGTCAATTTTTGTTTTTGTTGCAATTGCTTTGAAGGACTTAAGGCCGGTGTCGAGAAGGGTATTTCCTAGCTGTTCTTCTAGGATTTCTGTAGTCTTGATTCCATTTGAGTGTTTAATCTGTCTTGAGTTGATCGTTGTATACGGCGATGGGGTCCAGTTTCATTCTTCTGCACATGGATAGTCAGTTATCTTACTACCATTTATTGACCAATAATTGGGAGTCCTTTTCCGGTTCCTATTTGTTTTGAGACAGGGTCTTGCTCTGTCTCCTAGGCTGGAGTGCAGTGGCACAACCAAGGCTCACTACAGCCTCAACCTCCCTGGCTCAGGTGATCCTCCTGCCTCAGCCTCTCTAGTAGCTGGAACTGCAGGTGCCCGCAACCACACTGGAATAATTTTTTTGTATTGTTTTTTGGTGGTGGGGAGGGGGATGGAGACGGGGTCTTGCCACGTTGCCTGGGCCCGTGTCAACCTCCTGGGCTCGGGCAGTCCTCTGCCTGTGCCTTCGAAGGTTCTGTGATTACAGGTGTGAGGCACTATACCTAGCCTCCATTGCTTATTTTTGTCAAGTTTGTTGAAGATCAGGTGGTTATAAGCGTGTGGCTTTATTTCTGCGTTATCTATTTTGTTCAATTGGTCTATGTGTTTTGAATTATACATTTTAAATGGGTGAATTTTATGATATACAATATATGGCTTACATAAATAATATGTAAACCAGATGTATACATGTGAGTGGTTAGCTGTAACTGGGAGTTTCTGTAAAACTCAGATTTTTCCATGATGTTGTATCGTATGATGTTGTATATCATATAATACGTATATCTCAGAGTTTACAGAATAGAAGATTAACTTAGGCTGGGCATGGTGGCTCATGCCTGTAATCTCAGCACCTTGGAAGGCTGAGGCAGGCAGATTGCTTGGGCTCGGGAGTACCAGACCAACCTGAGCAAAAAAGTGATACTGCAGTGCTCGCTTCAGCAGCACATATACTACATTTGGAATGATACAGATATTAGCACGGCCTCTGCGCAAGGATGACACGTAAATTCGTGAAGCATTCCATATTTTTTATTTAAAAAAAGTGACAGTACGAAAAAAATACAAAATTAAGCCAGATGTGGTGGTGCACACCTGTAGACGCAGCTACTCTGGAGGCTGAGGCAGGAGGATGGTGTGAGCCCAGGAGGCAGAGGTTGCAGGGAGCTGAGATTGCACCACTGTACTCCAGCCAGATAGAGTGAGACCCTGTCTCAAAAACACCAAAAACCAAAACCAAAAACAAAAAAAAAAACCCGGTGGTAAGCTGCTTTTAAAATTTTAGGTGTAACTCATCTCTGTGCTTGTTTCAGCTTCCTAAATAATTGCATTTCAGCTCAGGCACAGTGGCTCACACCTGTTATCCCAGCACTTTGGGAGGCTGAGGCAGGAGGATCACCTCAGCCCAGGAGTTCAGGACCAGTCGGAGTGATATGCTGAGATCGGGCGCCCAGCTCATTTATTTCCTTTTTTGTACGGACTGGGTCTTGTGTTGCTAAGTCTCTAGGCTGCGACTTAAGCTTTTAAAAGTGTGTGGACATCTTTTTAAACCATCACACCTATAAGTGGTGGGGCCAGGATTCAAACCCAGACCTTTTGGCTCTGTCTTGTCTCCTGGGGATTGGGAGCGTGCAGCTCCGAGTCAGAACAACAAAGCCTGGTCGGTTCCAGCGTGTTCCACTGAACCTCTGAGGCTCTGCTATGTTCTTCATGAGCCCCTAGTTTCGGGCTGAGCACTGGGAGCTCTGCTTCTAGGAATCGGTAGCCAGAGAACGTGTGGGTGCAGTTAACAGAAGCTGGGCGCACTGACACGAACTGCCACTAGGCGGCGCCATGCTCCCACCTTTCATAAAACCAGCGGTCTGGACTTTGTTCCCAGGAGGTCCTTGGCCAGGAAATTCTCCCCTTTTTTCCTCCTCATCCTGTGGGGCTCTGGTCTGCAATCTTAGGACTGTAGGCTGGACCTTGAAATCCTGGCAGCTGGTGCTCAACAGGGATAATCCCCTTTATGTTCTGTAACTGACCTCACTTTGCTATGGGGCCCCTATTCACAGGAAACCACGACCACGCGGACAACTTTTAGAACTGTTTCTTGGCCGGGCGCGGTGGCTCACGCCTGTAATCCCAGCACTTTGGGAGGCCGAGGCGGGTGGATCACGAGGTCGAGAGATCGAGACCATCCTGGTCAACATGGTGAAACCCCGTCTCTACTAAAAATACAAAAAATTAGCTGGGCATGGTGGCTCGTGCCTGTAATCTCAGCTACTCAGGAGGCTGAGGCAGGAGAATTGCCTGAACCCAGGAGGCGGAGGTTGCGGTGAGCCGAGATGGCGCCATTGCACTCCAGCCTGGGTAACAAGAGCGAAACTCCGTCTCAAAAAAAAAAAAAAAAAAAAAAAAAAAAAACTGTTTCTTATACTTTTATTACTATTATTTATATTTATTTTGAGACGGAGTTTCGCTCTTGTTACCCAGGCTGGAGTGCAATGGAGTGATCTCGGCTCACTGCAACCTCCGCCTCCTGGGTTCAGGCAATTCTCCTGCCTCAGCCTCCCTAGTAGCTGGGATTACAGGCACGCACCACCATGCCCAGCTAATTTTAGTATTTTTAGTAGAGACGGAGTTTCACTATGTTGACCAGGATGGTCTTGATCTCCTGACCTCGTGATCCACCTGCCTCGGCCTCCCAAAGTGTTGGGATTACAGGCGTGAGCCACCGTGCCCGGCCGTACTTTTATTATTTATTTAAGATGGGGGTCGCACTATGTTGCCCAGGCCGGTCTTGAACTCCTGGGCTCAAGCAATCCTCCCACCTCCACTTCTCAAAGTGCTGGGATTACAGGTGTGAGCCACAGTGCCTGGCCTAATTTTAGAACATTTTCATCACCCCTATACCACTAAGCAGTCACCCCTCTGTTTTTGCCCAAACTCCCAGCTCCAGTTAACCACTCATTTGTATGGATTTGCCTATGATGTCTGGACTTTTCATATAAATGGAATAATATAATATGTGCTGTTTTGCATCTGATTTCTGTCACTTACCATGATACTAAATTATAGCAGACATCAATACTTCATCCTCTCTTATTTTTTCTATATGGATGAGGTTTTGCCTTGTTGGTCAGGCTGGTCTTGAACTCCTGACCTGAGGTGATCCGGCCACATCGGCCTCCCAAAGTGCTGGGATTACAGGAGTGAGCCACCGTGCCCGGCCCATTTCTTTTTTTCTTTTTTCTTTTTTTTTTTTTTGAGATGGAATTTCATTCTGTCACCCAGGCTGGAGTGCAATGGCAGGATCTCAGCTCACTGTAACCTCCACCTCCCAGGTTACAAAGTCCAGTAGCCTTATCACTTAGGGCCAGAATAAGGAACAAAAGAAAATGTCTCAAAGTTAAGTGGGCGCCACAGGGGTTGATCATTTTTTCCTCTTTTCATGGTCTTCTTGTTGCTTTAGATTTTCCAGAAACTCTTCTGGGGTGTCCGTGCAGGTCACAGAGGGTAACGTGGCGTCCATAGCACTGTCAGTCAGCTTAAAAGACCTTCCAGAACCCAGGGAGGGAGAGGTTGCATTGAGCCAAGATTGTGCCATTGCATTCCAGC